ACAACATACATATAATGGTCCTATTTGATCAACAAAAACATTGTTTACAGTGTAATATTTCTGAGCCTCCAGAAATATTAACTAAACTGTAAATAATGTTCAGTACCTAATGATTGCACCAGATATGAAACTCTGAGTCATACTACCGGCGTGGGGTATTATGTATTTTTATTAATATATACTCAATAGCTTTGTTATTTAGCAATGAGCACTCTTTTTCTTCAAGGATATGTATATGTATTTGTATGTGAACACTTACAGGTACATTTATTTATATTTATTCATGTAACTATATTTCTGTGTGTGTGTATGTATGTATGTATGTATATATATATATATATATATATATAGTGTTATTTTGAATGAATACTTTTTCAGTAAAGACTTTTAAAAAAAAATGACTGAAAAATGTCATATTTTTCTTTATTTGTTAATCTGTAAATAAATAAAATCCTGAAAAATGTATATCATGTCATGACAAGTCATAGAAAAAATTCTAATCCATTTTTATGATAATAGAAGAAAAAAATTTATTTTTTCAAATAGAAAAAAAAAATGAAGTCCTTTTTCTATTCAAGTCATACACATTTATGGTAAATTTGACAGCAAATTGCTTGCTGTATAAAACTCACAGACTAATCAATTTTAGACTTTCGAAAATTGCCATAAATGTCTGGAATTGAAACATCAATTTCCAAGATTGAAGATTCTTGTTTGAAACTTTTAATATTATTGAAAAGTTCTTTGGAATCTTGTATATTCTTAGTAAAAGTTAATGATTCTGGAGGCCTATTCAAATATGAGGTGTGCTAAAAAGTTCTCAGCCTGATCCACTCCCTCAAATATTCTGATGTTTGGTCAATGAAATAGTGATTTGGGGAATTGGGCTTGGCTGAAAACTTTTAATAGCCTTATTCATTGAGTAATACTTTAATCACTTCCCAACTACTGACAATCACTTTCTTCCTGATTTTTCAGTACATTTCTGTTGTAAAATTATTAGTAATGTATTTACATCATACATATAATGGTCCTGTTTGATCAGTAATACATTCATTTCTGACCACTTTTTTATCTTTATTATTTTCAATGGAATTCAATTGTAAGATTATTTACGTTTTTTTTTTCTTTTTAATTGATTTCACCCCAAGTAAGGCAGTAAAGCCACTAGGACACAAGGGGTTAATGAGTGTGGAAGAATTAGAAAACAGCAACTTTACTAAGGAGTGAGAACAAAAGAAGAGTAATCAGAACAGTAGATAGTGATTGACATTGCATTTAAGTTTTTGAAGATTAAAGTTGACTGGAAAGCATGGATCCAGAAGAGAGTTCTACAACCAAGAAGTGTAAGAAAAAGAAATTATTAGCAAAGACCATATCGTTACATCTAGTCACCTGAACTGTATATTCGTGAGACCTTGTTGTCAGTGCAGTGCTGTACTTAAATTCATAAAGTCTAGGTACCCCTGGCAAAGAGCTCACCTAAACAGTTGCCATGAAAGTATTTATAGAAAAGGAAATTTTACGTCAGTGGAGAAAATAACTGAAACCAAGATGCCAGATCAAGACTAATGATATTGCTGATTCTTCTTTGGATTTTATCAAAGATCTCTAGATACATGACAGGAGCACCAGACTATATATAGCAGCAATGTTCTAAGCATAGGTGAATGGTAGACATAGATATGTAGGATAGACATTTCTAGCACAATACAATGAACCAACTTTCTTAGCAATTGATCAAGCAGTTTTTTGTAATATCAGCATATATTTAAATGGTTTATATATATATATATATATATATATATATATATATATATATTTTATTTACTGATTGTAACATTGGATATGAAAGAAAATATAGAATATCAGGAAAGTCTCAATTCAATGAATGTTGCATTTTGTGAGAAAATCAGCATTGGACACCATATATATTGGACACTCAAGCAAATATATGGGGGACCCATCAAAACATCAAGCTGGCAACACTGCTGCACTGAGCTCCCTGTACCCACTTCTCCAAAGAGAGAGCAGCTGTCTTCAGAGGAAAACAGCAATTCAGAAGAGTATGAAGTAATTGATCCAGATTACAGAGGTGCAGCTGGGGAGAAAAACCCATATTACTCCAACCAAAAAGACTTCAAATAACCTGATCAAAGATCTTTGTCTCACAAAGTTCAGTTCCAAGCTTTTGATGTTGAGACTCAAGCATCAGGATCTTTTAGATGAAAGTGTGAAATTTGGAGAAAATGTCACCAGTGTTTTCAAGCTTTTTCATTCGTCAAGATGGGCTTTGTTTCTGCTACAATATGACTGGTCTGTTTAAGGCATTTGGAATCTCTGTATCGCAAGTGAGTGGTGACTCTTCATCAACAGCTCATTCAAGAACCTCAAAGACATGCTACTTTATTGGGAGCATATCTCTAGTTCACTTGGTGCAAAGAGAAATACAGCAGTGTTAAAATCTTGCTGGATATGTATGAAAAGCAAAAATTGGGAGGTTATCAGAGACTTCAAAATGGTGGCCTTCCTAATGGGTCTCCAAAGTGGCTTTACCACGTTTCCTTGTTATCTTTGCCTTTGGGACAGCAGGAACACTGCAGCTGCAGCACACTACCGGCAGGACTGGCCACAGTGGACTGAGTTCAATGTGGGAAGGAACAAAATCAAATGGGATGCACTGTTGGACTCCCAGAAAATATAGTTTCCTTTACTGCACTTAAAACTGGGCCTTATGAAACAATTTATCACAGTTCTAGATAAGGAGTCTGCATCCTTCAAGTATCTTCAAGACTTCTTCCCTAAGCTGTCTGTAGCAAAAGTCAAAGCCTGTGTCTTCGTTAGATCACAAAGATCATAGACTTCAAGAAATTCCCCAAGATCACTAGGACAGAGAAAATGGCGTGGAACTGCTTTGTTGTACACTATTTACATTATTTGGACTATTGTCCTCATCTTTGATGCTATTTTATAACAATGTTTCAGCTCTTGTACGCTCCGGCCTTCTTCAGGTGGTTGGAATATCAAACTGAACCCTTTATTTCGCTCGTTGTGGTAGACTGTTCTGAAGGACACATCGCACAGTGGATAAAAGAATTAGTTTGATCCAGTGACAGTACCCAAAGAGCGTGAGTTCAATACCTGGTTACGGTAGTGGAGAACTTGGAGAGGAGAATTAACAGGAGATAACTGATAACTGACATCCATTAGACATGGCAAGTGGAACTAGAACAGTCCACCCCAGCAAGCGAAATAAAGGGTTCACTTTGACCAGAAGAAGCCCAGAGCATACAGCAGCCAAAACATTGTGATAAAAATGGCACCAAAGATGAGGATAATAGTCTGAATAATGTAAATAGTGTACATAATAGCTCATCTCAGAAATATAGACAGATGTTTTGTTGTAGTTGTTTGGGGCTTCCTGTTGAATCACAAAAACTTATTGAGACTCAGTTGAAAAATGATGGCAAAATGGGCTGCAGGATGTCCCTCAGGGTCTATATCCTGAATGTTCATCTTGATAAATTCAAGAAGAACATGGGAGAGGACTCAGAGGATCAACGTGTATGCTTCCATCAGGATATACTGGACTTTGAATGCTTCTACCAAGGATCGTCCTTCCTGAGTATAATGCTAAATTACATCTGCATCCTGGGCAAGATGATAAAATACATACGACAGCAAGGCCTCTGATCAGGTTTTGAGGAGTGTGGAACAACCTCTTAATTGCTAGTGTTCCCAGGTCCACCCTGACCCAGGGTGGTAGCACTTGTTAGGGTCCTAGCTATGGGCAAATAGTTAACCCCCAAACTGGTGTCAAAACACTATGAAAGTGTAAAAATAGGTTTTAATACCAGCAATACATTTTTTGAGGAAAAAATATTACCAGCAATATATTTTTGAGGAAAAAATATTACCAACAATACATTTTTGGAAAAAAATATTACCAGCAATAAAAATCTTGTTGGCATTAAATAATCCATTGAGGTTGATATGCTGTAAAACAAATCAAACCAAACCAAGGACATATAAGAAAACATGATGGGAGACTATATTTGGGGGCTGATTTGTGAAATTAATTTACAGTATAAACATAAATCACAAAAATCACTTCTAAATTTTTTGTGGTCTCTCATGTAATCCTAGAATAAATAAATTCTACTTTTGAATCATGTGGCATTTTGTTCTTTGTGTGAACGACAATATTCATTGCCAGCTTTCCCAATAAGAATAGGTAAATTTCAGAAATACCATTACCCTGCTCACAAAATCAAAGTTTCAAGGAAATATTAGTCATTTTCATATTTTCTCAGTGTAAGCAAATAGGAAATAATAGTTGCTACCCAAGGACAAAAATTATGTTAATCAGTGAATAGATATGTGGTGAGTTTATTTTTAATTGCAAATGAACTGGACAAGTAAATGATTTGTTTGAATGATTCAATTAGATATAACATCATTGCTTGTTGACCACACTCTTTATTAATGTTCAGACTGTATGTTGTTCATGAGTTCATGCACTCTGTCTTCTTGTGTAACTTGATATCATGGCAGCCCATTTACACAACATAATTTCACTGAATGAATCACTTGAATTTGTTATGGAATTTTCAAAGAAAATACGACATTCAAATGTCAGAAAGGAGTTTGGCAGTTAATGATTCCACAACTTTATATGATGTATATTATGAATGGGGTTACAAAAAATGTTCAAACCATAATGTGATGAAAACAATAATTGACTTTTGAAAATATAATCAAAATATCCTTGGCATTTAATTGATATTTCTTTTTTTTTTTTCTCCTACTCATTTTTCTTTGATATTTTTCTACAGGTCTTTTTGTCTCTCATTTTCTTTCTCTTCCCTTCTCTTTCTCTCTCTCTTAATGATCTTTCTTTCTCTCTCTCTCAATGATCTTTCTTTCTCTCTCTCTCAGTGATATTTCTTTCTCTCTCAATGATCTCTCTTTCTCCTTCTCAATGATCTCTCTTTCTCTCAATGATCTTTGTTTTTCTCTCTCTCTCTCTCAATGATCTTTCGTTTATAAACTTTTTTCATTTTCATTCTTTTTACACTTTTTTATTCTTCCTTTACTTTTCCACTTTGACTTTGTTTTTCTCTCTTCACTTCCTTCTATCTTTCCGTTTCTATCTCTTTCTCTCTCTCTCTAACTTGATTTCTTTTTCTTCCTCCATTCCTTGTACTCTTTTTCATTTTCCTCATCTGCTCTACCCTTCTCTTTCTCATTTTCCTCATCTGCTCTACCCTTCTCTTTCTCATTTTCCTCATCTGCTCTACCCTTCTCTTTCTCATTTTCCTCTATCTGCTACCTCTCTCTTTCTCATTTTTATCTATCTGCTTTTGTCCCCCACTTGTTTACCTCTATCTGCTTCTCCCATTCTTTCTTCTTTTCACCTTAAATCTGTGCCCTTCTGCCACACCTTCTCATTGTATGTCCCCATTTCTACCATGTCTTCACATTCTCTGTTCTGCCATGTTTTTATTTTTTACTTAAATTTATACATGATGAAGTGATATCCAAGAATTCCTGTAAATTGACCGTGAAAAGTGTCAAATATTCTATTACCTACTTTTCATTCCTTCTGAAATGTTGTTAAGACTGTGACTACTAATAATAAATCTTGATAGGACTTCTAATTCTCTCAGGATCTCCTCACTATATAGGTTGAATAAGTTCAGTGAGAAGATACATCCTTGTCTTATACTTCTTGCTATTTTTATTATTTCTGAATTGATTTTCTATCCATATGCAGATGTTTTGCAACAAGTATAGATTCCGGATTATTCTAATATCTTTACCAATAAAATCCAGTTTCCGTGTAGTTCAAACAGCTTTTTGTAACATATTTCCTCAAATCCTTTTGCATAAACTATAAAACACATATACATACTTTTGCATTTGTATTGCTCTTTCTGTTATCATTCTGAGCATAATCATATATTTTATTTATTATGTTTGTAATTTTATTATGTTATGTTTATAATTTTATTTTATTTATTATATTTGTAATTTTATTTATTATGTTATGTTTGTAATTTCATTTACTATGTTTGTAATTTTGTCAATGTCAAAATCATCTGAAGTTGCTAGCATCTCCATTACAATCCCATCTGGTCTTGCTGCTTTGTTTCTGTTCAGTTTAGCCACTGCTGATTTCACTTCAGACTTTAATATTTTTGGTCCATCCATATTTTTGTTTTATTGCAGGTTTTCCTTTTTCATTGTGGAAGTGTTCTCTGATGTATTCCTTTCATCTTTGGAGTATTTTTCTTTCTCTATTATCAGCATATGGTCTCATGCTATCAACTGACATGAGGTGGAATAAATACATTGAATCAATAGCTTCATATACCACAAGGAAAGTTGGTTCTCTAAGTCATGGTTGAAACTTTTTCTCATTTGAAACCATCCTTCAAGTCTATAAATCAACCATCCATCCTTGCATGAAATATTGCTGTCATATATGGTCTGGTGCCTCTACTGTATGTCTCAAAGTCCTCAAGAAAATCCAGACAAATATGCAATATGATAGGTCCTGATCTGGCATCTAGTCTACAGTCACTTTTTCACAGACATGCTGTGGCTTCCTCTGTCTCTTCTACAAGTATTTTCACAGCAAATGTCCTGATGAGCTACTTTCACTGGTTCCTAGACTGCATGAATTTAAGCAAGCTACTAGGCTGGTATCTTGGTCCTACCCTTTCACTGTCAAAACAGTTAGATGTAACTGTCTCTTCTACTCAAACAGCTTCTTCTCTCTCACTTCCCATCTGTGGAACTCCCTTCCCCTTGCTTGTTTCCCTGATAACTATAATCTTCAAATATTCAAGTGTAATGTCAATCAACATATGATACCTTGATCTTGCTCCCCATCCTTCTCTGTATCGTTTCCTCAGACATGCCTCTTTATTCTTGTTTTCAATCCTCTGTAACCCCTTGCATGCTAGTGACACTCCCACCTTGCTTGGAGTGATTTGTTTAAAAAAAAAATATCATGTCTTTTGTCCTGTTAGTAGTCTTATTCTTATATGCATATCTACTTTGTAATGCTCATTCTTTCTATCTCTGTACAATTATCATTCTTCTTTTGCCTGTTTGCATTTGTTTCCAATTTCTTTGTCTAATATCCTATATTCTGTGCCATGACTTGGCATTGTCTGCTGTCTTCTTTTCATCATGCCAATAATTTTATATGTCATCCATTCTTTTTTTTCCTTGTCTAGTTTTCTTTCTTATTTGCTGATGTTACTAATGCTTCTCTTAATGTGTCCAACTTTGAATTCTCATTCTAATTTAGTTCATTTATCTGCTTTTAACACTCTCAGTATAAAGCTGTCTCAAATTAAGATCATTTAGGAGTTTGTTCTATTGCAATTTGGGTGCTGTCTTGGTCCTCTTTGACTTCTCTAGTTTCCCTTTAAGGTTGCATATCAATTTCTTATTGATCATTATATAGTTGGTTTGGTTTTTTACTTCTCCTCCTGTTTTTTCTACATGTCCATAAATGTCTTGGGCGTTCTTGAAACTAGATGTTGGCTACCACTCTCATTTGCCAGCACCATTATGCCCATCAGTGTAGTCAAGAATAATTTACAAAGTCTCTTCAAAAAAATTTATATTCGAGATAATTAACTCAAAATTGCACTAAAATTTATGCTGATGGAATATGTTAATCTATTATTTCAGGAGAAGAGTTAAATTAAAGAAAATAAAAAGGAGAACATGGGGAAATTATTATGAGACTATGATAAAATGCATGTAAAACTTAGAAATATTTATTCATTTCAAGTGTCATTGTATTGGTTTTAACAGACTAAAAATAACTGCTAAGGACATATCCCACCTAAATTTATGGACAAATTTTACAGATGCATGCTGGGATTTCTTCGTAACCAATAAAAATGGAGTGATTCTCAATCTCATCTGCTATATTTTTGTCTGTTCTTGTCTTGAAGTCAGAACACTATAATTACATGACTGTATCTCTTTTGCATGTGCACACAATTCTTACATTGTGAACCCTTTGCCTTATTTCTATTGCTTGCTTAGTATTATTTCTGTTTTTTTTTCTTACTTATTGTTAGAGAACTTTGTCAATTCCTTTTGTTGAGAATTTTGTCAATTACAGCTAACCATAGCCAATTACACTATACATAGTCATAGACATTGTTTCATTTAATTTGTTTAGATTCAAGTTTCTTTTCTTTATCGATATGTTAGAAATGTTTTATAATCAGAAATAAGAAATTCCTATTATTTCATATTCATTTCCAGTTGAAGAAAAGTAAAATGTGACTGATATCGATGTGCTAAAAAGTAAATTTAAGATAGATTTTCTTTTCTTTCTTTTTTCATTCTTTTCTTTGTTTTTTTAATTCTTTTCTTTCTCTTTTCTTCTTCTCTTTTATCCTTTTCTCTATCTCTCTTTTTTTACTCTTTCTCTTTTTCATCTCTTTCTCTCTCTTTTTTCTCCTCTTTCTCTCTTTTCTCCTCTTTCTCTCTTTTCTCTCTTTTACTTTTTTCTCCAAATGATGACTCAGAAATGTTATTTTAAGATTTACAGTGCCATCAGTTCCAAACTTGGTATTTATGCTAACTATTTACTCTTGTCTTACTAGTAAGTCTGATCAAAGAAAACTCACAGCTGATCCCCAAAAATGACCTATAATTTGTTGTTAACTAGAGCAAAAACTATTGCCTCTAAAAATGAAACTTCTCTATTAATCATCTTAACAAACCATTTTTAGCTTCCATCAGGCATGCTTAAAAAGTTATGCCAGACAATTTTTCTTGCCAGAATTCCACTTGTACATTTATAAATCTATCATTCATCTGTGCATTGGATATTGCTGCCATATGATCTGGTGCACTTGCTATATATCCCAAGATTCTTGATAAAATCCCAAAAAGAGTTTGTAATGTTATCAATCATGACCTGGCATCTTGACATCAGCCACTTTCCAGTTGCTTTGATGTGGCTTCCCTCTGCCTTTTCTATGTAAATTTTCATGGCAATTGTTCTAATGAGCTCACCTTGTTGGAACCTCAACTGCACAAATTTAAGCATACTACTAGATTGTTAACTAGTTCTCATCGTTTTACTGTTGAACAAACTACATGTAAGCATAAGTTCTATTCTAATAGTTTCTTTTCTTGTACTTCTCACATCTGTAATACTCTTCCAGCTTCTTGCTATCTATGATCTTCAGAAATTTAAATGTAATGTCACTTGTCATCTTCTCCTTGTATCCTGTTCTTTTGTTGTCTTTTCTCCTCATTAATCTTTTCACATTTCCTTTCACTCTTAGTAACCCCTTGTGTCTTACTGGCATTATCCTCTTGCTTGGGGTGAAATGATATTAAGAAAAATTCAGGGATAAGATGTTTCTGATTCCTGCTTCTGTTTATTTCATTATCATCATCATCATCATCAATAGTTTTTTTTAATTATTATTTACCCCCAAGTAAGGCAATAATGTCACTAAGATGCAAAGGGTTATTGAGTGTTAGAGAATATGAGAAAAATATATTAGGAGAGAAGACAGAGAACAAGAATGAAATAGACAGAAGATAATGATTGACATTGCATTTAAATTTTTGAAGATCAAAGTTCTCTGGGAAGCAAGAAGCCAGAAGAGAGTTCCACAAGCAAGAAGTGCAAAAGAAGATACTCTTAGCATAGAACTTACAGTTACATCTATCCATTTCAACTGTAAAATGATGAGGCCTTACTGCTAATCTAGTACTATGCTTAAACTCATAAAGTCTAGATACCATAGAGGAAAGTAATATTTATTTTGTTACAATACAAATTGTGGCACAAGGCCAAAAGAGGAGGATAGGGGAGGCTGATTTTTCAATCTGTCTTATCCTAAATTTAGCTAGCCACAGTTACTGACCCAAACATACAACAGTATTCCTTAAACCAAAATAACATATTTTTTACTTATGATTCTTACTACAGTCACAATAATGTCTCAAGGTCTCTATGTAGTTCTCACATGTACAATTTCTTTGTACCATTTGTACCATAGAGGAAAGTTCATCAGAACAATTACAATGAAAGTATTTATAGAAAAGCAACAGGATATGTTCTGGTAATGAGAAAGTGACTGAAACTGAGATGTCAGGTCTAGACCAATAACATTGTAGATTCTTCTTTGTATTTTATCAAGAATCTCTAAATATATAACTGGATCACCAGACCATATATGGCAGTAATATTCAAAGCAAGGATGAATGGTAGACTTATGAATAGGTAAGAGAGATTCTGGGGAGGAAAACTGTCTATCTTTCTAGCTGCAGGCTTGGCAATTGATTCAATATACTCTTTCCACTTCATATCAGTGGAAAACGTTACTCCAAGAATGTGCAATGAGTCCCTCTTCTAGAGGTTAACATCAGCCATACTGATAGAAGGTAAAAAGGGTTTCATTTTGGAGACTTTAAAATTCAGCAGCCACTCCTTGCCCTCTTTAACAACAGATTGTAGGTTAGTTTTGTTTATTAACTAGTCTTCTATATGGTTCTGATAATGATGTAAATTAATATCAAAAAGTATTTTTTAAAAATCAAAAATATTTTTTTTTTTCACATAACTTTAATCCGAAGCTTATTTTATGCACACATCTAAAGATCTATAAAGATCCCAATATATTATTATTATACAATGAAATGTATAAAAGCTTTTTCCTTTGTTTTTACAGAAATTTACTCTAAAAATTATTTCATGTAAATCTTTACTTCACTATATTATTATTATTTCTGTATATTTTTTTAATACAAATACACCTGGTGTGCATTTGTATAATTTTGTCTGTAACATCTAATGTTTATCTTCCTTGCATTTGTAACACAAAGTACCACTCTTTGTTATTAGTGGTGAACTGTGTGAAGTGAATAGAACAATTATAATAATAAAATTATGTTTAAAGAGTCACATATAAAAACCTCATAATATTAAACATTTAAAAATGTACACCATCATTGTTCATAGTTTGAGTAAGTTGCTATATATATTATATGCACCATCAAAAAGGATGAGAGTGTTTGCCTGCTGGTACCATTGATACAAAGAAAACACCTATGAAGTCAGTAGCAGTGAACAAGGCTAAAAAAGAGTGCATTTGAAGCATGCAAATTTGTGACTTTTTATTTTTTTTGCTACATTATTATATAAACTATAGGCCCTAGGTTTGAGGACACCTTCTGTATTTACTTAAAAATTACAGATTGTATGCCTTTTTCAAAACTAATTTATGAGCTCACTTTGGGCTTGAGAGGCTCTCTTACTGAAGAGTTTTATCATTTATTAAATCCAGATGGGCGCCCCAAACTTTTGGTCTCTAATGTATATCATCAGTTACTATATATATTATGAAAAGGTAAAAGACAATAGGAAAACTGTATTATTAGCCGACACATTTCATCGAATGCGGAAATTTTCAAGGCAAAAACGAAATGAATTTATTGAAAACAAAGTAACTATTAACAAACAAAACGTCCTTAGCAACTAGAAGAATTTAGAAGATGTTATTGTATTCATATAGTCAACTGAAAATTACGTCAAGTACTTTCATGTGTAGAAATATTGTTTTTATTGTTGTGCTGACAGATTCAACCATTTTCTTTTGATTTCTTGATATAGTTGTGTACATTGGCTTGGAAGAGTAGTAATTCTGTTAGAAAATGTGATATTGGGAAAAAACCTGGTCGTAGATTAATATTTAGATAATATTCAATGGTGGCACTCTGTTAATATTACAGTTTCCCTCTTGTCTTTTACCTTTACACACGTCTTTTTCTACAGGTAGACTCTGATAAATTTTTCATATATATATATATTATATATGACACATCATTGACAGTATCATTCAGTAGTACCTTTAGTTTTAGACATTATCATGGCAGATGCATGTATAGAGATTCTGACAAATTTTGAGGCATTATTTTAAACTTGGGCTCAAATTCATTAAATTTTCTCACAGAATTTGGGAAGTGGAAGGAAATGAAACAATATCTAACCAAACTGCTTAAAACTGGCATGTTTTTTTTTTAAGGATGGTGACTTGTTCCTTGATATAAAGCTCAGAAGTGGATGACCATCACTTACCTTATATGTTTATGTGGCATCTGTTGTTCTTGAGAGACCTTGGATCTGCACCCTAAGTGTTATGCCTCAGCTGCTAATGGCAGCACAGCATCTGTTATGGCTGTACAGGCCCACGTGGGAGTGACAGTCTTGATTGCAACAAATGCATGTGAAGATGCTCTCCTTCAATGCCACCTTGTTGTTTTCTTTCCATTGAGCATACTTCTCTCTGGCAGCAAGCCTTCATTTCTCCTCTCCTTACTCCAACCCTTAGTGTAATTCACATCTCCAGTGTGAGTGATCATTGGCAATGTCTTCACACCTCTCAATGTCAGTGTCCATTGCTGTCATGGTTCTTTTGCAGACATACTTGAAGCCAAGATGAGATCGCCTCTCTTGTTAGTGGTCAGTTCCCTGTACAGAAGGACCTTTGGAATCCTCCCATCTGGCATATTGTGTACATGTGAAAGCCAGTGGAGCTGACACTGTTGGAGAAGTGTGTATAGGCTGGGTTACTGAACACAGGTGAGAATTCTGGCATTGGTGACCCAGTCAGACCAATTAATGCCCCTTACCTTATGATGCTTTAAAATACTAAGTAGAAAAGAACTTGACCACCAGTTTCCAAAAACTTTAAAAAGAATTGGGATCATCTAAATATACTTTGTCAAGAGCATGATATAAGCTTAAAAAAAAACAGGAACTCTTGAGAGATTCCTCATTACTAAAAATACCAAAATATTTTTGATGCAACCAAATACTAACAAAATTACTTACCATTCTTGTCTGTTAATTTATTGTTGATTATATACTTCATTAGTTATATGTAAGTGATAAATGATGGAAATAAATTGATATTCTGTTGTTTAAGAGTAAGAAAGCACCTTTTATTTCAAGAATTTCTTTTTGAATGTCAGTGCTAATGACTTTTTGATTCTCACTGCATGACTCACTATTATGGCCTTGTGTCATACAGTGCTAAGATTTGTAAATGTCTATCTATCTCATTATATAATCCATATTCATCCATCAATCTAATATTGTCTAACTCAAACAAAAACATTTTGTTTATACAGTCTTACCAGTTTTCAATGATCTAACCTTAACAACAAAAACTTTGGTTTATAATACTGTTGTCATTTCAAATTTGCTATATGGTTGGGAAACTTGAAATTTATATTGTCACAATATCCAAAAATTAGAACATTTCCACCAGCAAGAGCTTTGTTCAGTCTTGAAAGAACCAACTGTCAAAACATCGAATTGCTGATCATTAAACACTGTCTTCAATAGTCAGGACATGTAGCAAGAATGGAAAAGTCAAGGCTTCCACATCAACATGATGTGTGCCTAAGCCCTGTGACAAAGATCTCCAGTGTGATTACAGCTATTCATCAGAACTGGTGAAAATTTGGAATTTGGAATTTCAAACCGAACTCTTTATTTCATCCAGTAGGGTAGAT